TAAAAGTGCAAAGAAATCGGGAAATCACTTGGATTATTTCCAAGAGGACGGTGAATTGGAAGAAATTATCGCTGAGATTTCTTAGCTGCATTAATTTATACTATTCTCTTTCCACTTCCTTTGAATTTTCTTGATCATATTCCGATCACTTTTCTACTAATGTTCACAAACAAAATTAGATTTGTCTTCCTTCAATTTATTTTTCTTCTTACCAAACTTGCATTATTGGAGATCTACACCCTTTCTTACTTTTATTATAAGTAAACTGATATGGGCGATGAGCAATGCATAGTAATTGTTGTGAACAGGCATACAAACCAATTTATTATGATGACATTCTTTGAATAGATCGATTCTCAAACGGTTGTTATCCAAACTTTGCATGTGAATAAAGAAAAAAGTTGTGCTTAACTGGAAATTCTCTCTCACTATTGTTCTTTGGAAAACAATATTAATGTCTAAGATGAAGAAAGATTTCTTTGATGAAAGGATACATCAAATTATGATTATATCCCGCTATCGCCGAAAACTGCCTATAAGAAGGTGAAACAGCGGTAAAAGAAAGTAATCAATAATTATTTCAATCATATTTTAATTATCTAAACAGTTAGAAGAGTGCGGTGTGTGTACGTCAATGAAATGGATGCTGCATAGTTAGTCATTCATGAAGATATGAAAAATGGAGGAAAAGGAATTATTTTATCATGCCAGGAGGAAAAATAACACAGTGCCAGGCAAATTAATGAGTGTCATTAATTTCCTAGAGCTGAAGAAAATTTTATCAGTTTTCCTGAATCATTCGTTTCGTAAAGTTTAAGTGATTTGAGATTTATCGTATCAAAGAACAGAATTTGTCGTAAATTGAATCATATTTTCATTGATATTTGTTCTCAACATTTTGTTTTACAGCATAAGAAGTCTCAACAAATCGTTTACTCTTCTGCAACAGCTATTCTCGGTTAAAAGAGGAAAGAAACCGAGATCTCTGTAGAGATAATTGTAATTAAAATTCAAATTAAATAGATCCATGCAAACTGAACAATCTCATGATGAAGCTGATGTCGAATGTGTAAAGGACGCTAAACAGAATGAGTAAATATGGAAGGTTAAGAAACAATCAGCGAGAATATATAAAAAAGTGAGATTTCTATCCCAGCATTGTTTATGAGTTGTCTTCGTCAAAAAAAAAATCGTCAAATTTTCATAGACATTAAAACTGTGAGCTTGCAGCTGCCTTCAGCTATTTTAAATTGATTAAAGGCGCGCCATCGCACTGATAATTTTGATAGTGATATAAGAGACGACTTTAATGGAAATTGGTCAATTGTATTGCGGGAAAAATGTTTTATTATCTACTAGGAATGTGGATTAAAAAACTTTGAGTGAGGAAATATCACAAATTCCCTTTTGTTTCTGAAGAATGATACACGTTTTGACGATCACTTTGAACTTGATTGCACTAAATGTTGCCCAGAAAACCGTATTAAACTACTCCCTTATATATCGTAACCATTGATATATCGAGAAAGTAAAATTGCATGGTTCAATAGTTAATTTGAATTCTTGGAAAAAAAATTTTAACTTCTTATCCTCGATGAAATAATTGACAAACAGTTTCATTTATCATAACATAAAGCATTTATCTTTTACTTTAGCTTTTGCAAAAAAAAAAGTGAAAAAATTCTTTTTGAATCTTTTCTTCTTGAAATTTGACGATTCTATGAATTCTCTTTAGGGTATTTAGGAAGTTTGAGAAGTAAAACAAAAGAGATGTATAATAAAAAAATTCAAATAGCATAATGTCAAAGGACCAGTGAGAATCAGCGGTCGTTTGAATACGTGGATAATTGTGATAGATGATACTAATGAAGTCACTACATCCTTTTCCATAATACTGAAAAAAGTGAATGAATAAAGTAAGGTTTCAAGAAGACATAATGGAAACAAAAAATGTATGTAATGGACCTCAGCGAACAATTAAAAAATTCCAGGTGATCCAACAAACTTCCAATTTGTCACATAACTGATATATTTCTATAGATGGTATTGCACCATTTCAAGTTCTGAGAGTTCCCCAAATCACTGGGATACTTCTTTCTTTGAGAGTTAATTGGGTTGGTGTTTAAACACATGTAGATCATTTGCTGGTTGTTTTTAAATAACAAATGAGCAAATGACTATTTGTCCACGAGGTTCTTAGATCTCGTCTACAAGCACGCAATATTCCTATTATACACCTTTTGATAAGGTTAATTGCATTTAAGCCTAGTGAGAAGTGATGTGTGCAGGTAATGAGCAAGTAAAAAAGTAGAAGGGTTGCTAAATGAAATCAGTCAGTAGAAGTACACCATCAGGTATAACTAGGATGACGGTTATTTTATGATTTCTACTTGCATTTTCTGAATGATGAATTGCATTGATATAGTACTCATATGCTTTCCTGTGAAGTAGCTGAACTGAACGGAAAAAAGCGAGAAGTTAAAAATGAGCAAAAAAATTCAATAGATGGAAAGTATGAAATCGATAAAATTTCAGTGGTCGCTCATGTGAATCAAAAAGTCTGCCAACTTAAAATTGCTAAAAAGCACTTGGAATCAACTAACAGCAAATATATATACATATTAGATGAGATATTTCCCGTTATAGCTTTTGCTTTGAAAAATATTTGAAAAGTTCATTCCCAAGGGTAAATAGCGCTAGCTACTGAATTCTACCGAAAAAGAAATAACCAAACAACCTTTTGGATGAATTGCAAGGACTAGAAAGCATCCAATAGCTTTCCAATTTTTGACTTCATACTCTCAGTTTTGTTCCCTCGGGCCAGATGTATTCTATATTCAGTAGCTTTTTGGGCTTCAATACACATACATGCCAATCCAAGATATAAATATATGAATGAGTATATAAGGGCGCAAATGTTTATGGCTAACAAACACGTTCCCTGTCAATTGCACATCTTGCGTTGTAAGAAGGAAAAAATAATGCTAATGGATTTTATTCCACAAGAAGAAAAAGAGAAAAAAATTCAATAGATTTTAGTCTACAAGCAGAGATGGAACAATGGCAAAGGACCTCATAGCAATGATGAAGAAAATTAAGTAGTGAAGAAAGCTGCAAATTTAACAATATTTTTGCTCAAAAGCATCTAGATCACATGGTCTGAAGCGGAATGTGCTTCTATATTGATCAGTCATAACCGCAGCTGTTCCACTCCGTCTTGTCCACAGAAATTTAATCATTACTTATGATATGTACTTGAAGTTATTGAGAAAAATTCACTGCTTGCGTGAAAATAGTTTGAAACTCGAATCGTTGAGATCTCGAATTTCATATAAAACTTCTTTATTTATGAAGTGAATTCTCCCAGTAATATAGAAAAGATCTGAGGAAAATAAGCAAAAATTGGGCAAGCTGATAGTAAGGGTACTTCAATTTTATTGAAAAACGTGTTCCGTTCTTTTTCAATATTTCTACTTTTTGAATTAGTAACATTTAAGCAGCACATTAACTTGGCCATCAAAAATTAGTGTTGTTTTTCTGTGAAATGATTAGTCCGCATATCCATTTCCTGTGGCTATCAAATTTATTTCTTTTTATCTCTTGTCCTATTTTAATACTTATAACCACTAAAATAATCAGAAAAATTATCTTACTTCACTTCTACCCAATTTATATTTGGAAGAGTGTTTCTGGTAAAGAAAAACTACACTTTAAAATTGGAATTCAAATTCAAGACTGAAATAATTTTATCAAAGTCATGCACTGAAAATTTCTAATCTTCCCGGAGAGCTTATTTTCCTTTTTGTTAAATTGTGTTGAATTTCTATGTTTTCTGGTCAACCCTAAAATTGAACATTATAATGTCCAATTGAAGAAAAAAAAAGAATATTATAATATCCAATTTCAGAACTGACCAGAAGATAGCCGACCGACTTTCCCAATCCTTCACTTTTTATATCTGCAACATAATAGCCGCCCTCAAAATCTCTGCATTTCAAGCATAAATGACATAACGACATGAGCCAAAGTGGTTAGTGGCTATTTATCGCAGTTTTAAGCTATCAAACTAGGTAGTAACTTCTCGAGCTGTTTAACAACCAAAATGAATGAAATGAAATGATAGATCTGTGCGAAGGGGATGTTTGTAAGGTTGCCATGATAGCTTGATTGATTCGTTTGTTTTGCAGTATAAAAGTAACGAAAAGGTGAAGGATCGTGAAGAGAGGTATAACTGCCAAAAAAAAAAACTGATAAAATGGAACTGATAAAATGGTTGAAGGTTAAGTGAAAGAGAGCAGGATAAGAGTAAGCTGTAAATCTCCGGAAAGAGAACGAAATGGATACTTGATGGGAAAGAAGGACAAAAAATACGACATAGCAAAGAAACGTGATCAGATAGCTTCCCTTTCCATCTTCCTCCAGAATTATTCGGTTTCACAAGTATTAATTTACATACATTTAACCTATGTAAAGTAGAGACATTCACAACAACTGATAAAATACAACGATTAGATTTAGAAGCTGTATATTGCCAATGAGGGGAAAAGTTAGAGTAAAGTAAGCAAGACTGATTTTTGACCATTGGATGCCCTTATGTTTCTGCCCAGCAAAAGAAATGTCTTCATAAAAAAATTCTAATGAATATCGAAATCCGTTATATTGCACCCATTGTTCATTTCCTAACAATATAAGGAGCGGAAGTAATTAAAAATAAATCAGTGGAAACGAAGGAATTGACAACTAAACGAGAGAAATTTAAAGAAATTTATTCTGGAAAAAAGGTAAGAAGAGAGTGATTAACAAATAGGAAGATTGAATTAATCTCTTCATCTTTGATGAAAAGGAATTGAATTAAGATGAAAAATGAACATGAAAGGATAGATGAGAGAAGACATACATAGACATGTACTTTTGGACTTCTTTTTTTTTTATACCTCAATATTGATGAAAACATTTTCACGGTATGATTTCCAATATTAAGAAAAAAATATTGCCAAATATTAACCAAAAGCATAGCATATTAGAAAGGGCCGACGTTGATTATATTCGACCCAAGAGTCATTTACACTTCTTATCAGTATTAACACTCGACTGCAGCAAAAACTTAAATAACTGTTTTGCGGAGTATTATCCTGTAGAACTGACCTGGGCATCTGGAGGTCTTCAGCAAGTTTTTTCTGCCTGCGGAGTCGCGGGAGAAGCCTACTCCACCCCTCTCTCCTTCCCGCCGCCTTTCCCTTGCGCTCGAGAAATCTTCCAATGTTCAAGTCCGAGTGATACTCTGGCGCACAGCCCTTAGAGGCTGCCTCTGATTGGCCATATATAAATTTGAACCAATTAATGTTTAGATCAATTTCCTTTATCTCTTCTTTTGATTTCAATTTCATTTCTTCATTTTACTTTTTTAGTATCTGACCATATATTGGCCATGTTTCTTTTCCCAGTTGTTTTATATAAAATGTTTCAGATGGATATATCCAATTTGATTTTTTTGAATATAATCTATCTTTGTATTTTTCCCAAATCTTAATCAATAATGCTCTTAGGTAGTCATTTCCTAACTTTTTATCTACTTACCTTTTGTCATACCATAAATAGACATGCCAGGCTAACCTTAAATCAAAACTTTTCAATGTTAAAATCCGTTAATCTTTCATCACAACTTCATCATTTCATTAATCCATTACAATGCTTCATTTATTGCTTTTATNAAGGGAT